AAAATGAAAAGAAAGAAAATGGGGAGAATGTTAAGGCATTAGCATGACTTACAAAGGGTGTATGCTCTCATTAACCTCAGCAAGATTTGCTTTGGTTTACTTTTCCTAAGTTATCTCTCAAAGTGGGCAGTTCTCATGGCTCCAACCTAGAGTTAATTTGAGGGGTGAAAAAAAAATCATCTGCTCTGTTGAAGTTCCCTCTGAACTGCCTGCTGGTTTCTACTTTCTTTTTACCGAAGCATCTCTTTTCTCCTTGCTGCTGCCTTTCATGTTTGCAAATTCCTCCTGTCTTAAGTTAGGTTATACCTTCCATGTGGCTCAGGAGGGGTCAGCAGTGTGCCCAGCTGTTTTTGATTCACATTTCTGATTTTGCCTGGAAATGGCTTTATAGCGCAGGATAGTATAAGCTATTCCTTGAACATAAAGATATATGCTTCCTTCTGGGAAATATACTGACTTAAATTTCCACCTGCTCTTCCTGGATCTACGGTATTTACTGAGGAGATTATGCATCTGTCTGCTCACTCTTTACTCTTCCATTTGATTTACTTTTATTTGGCTTTAAGTAATAAAAGATGACCAAAAAGATAGAAATGATTCATTTCCAGGTGCCATGAGGGATGTGAGAGCACAATTTTTATCTATTTCACTGGAGATGAAACCTTAAAAGTAATTTGTCCCATTTGATTACTCAATTCTGGATATATGCTTCAGGAAATATCACCTGGTCGACTTTATTTTTTAACCAATCCATAAAGTTTTCACCTATCTTTTTGCAAAAGCCAGTAATGCCGGGTAATGCATTTGATGGCCGGGAACATCAATTATTTTAGGAAGTTAAGTATGGATGTTTTGGATTATAATTTCAATTTAGTATGAGAGTAAACTGGTTGTGACCTTGGCCCCGTGTCCTCCCCATGATTGACATGACTGGCTGTTGTCCAGGTGGGTAATCCTTCCCCACCAAAGCAGGTACCCATGTCCTGAAGCTTGTTCAGGTTGTTTGGCTCAACACAATGTACTTGTAAGATAGGGAAGATACATGAGCACTTATATTTTATTTCTCAAATTAAAATCCTTTCCCATCCATTAATTTTTAAATTGTGATTTTCTTCTATTCTTCAGGCTCTGCAGTGGAGATTTCCAGCCTGGAGTCTATAAACCTCTAGGTTGCCCATGAATGGATTTTAGAGGGTGCATATTCCTTTCATATATTATGCAAAATTGCATGTGGATGTGCAGGTGTCTAACATTCTGAGGAAATATGTCTTAGTGTTCATCAGATTCTTAACAGGCATGTGAACCTAAATGATTAAAGTCACTGTTAGGATTCATGTTAAGTTTTATAGCTAAAATAATCTGATATTTTATGGAATTACATAGGGCACAGTTAAGTGGTGGAATGTTAATCCCTAGAATATAATGTATGTTCATTTATTTGTATATACAGATCTTGCAGATCTTTCCTATGATCCTTTTGCTGAAAGCCTTTTGAGGTTCTGAAGGATTTACTCAGCATACACAATGGCCATCAGACTACCAGGTGAGTTCATGTCAGTGAAGTTGGTGCTACTAACCAACTTGGTGTTGCTGTCAGTAAGAGAAACTCACCAGCTGTTGAGAGCCACAGCCTAGTCGGAATGGCCCCTGGCATTTTGCCAGAAGTAATGGTTGAGAGGCGAGCCATTAAGATGATGCTGGATTGATTCAATTGTATATAGACCCCTGCTGTCCGCCTTGGGCGCCCACTACTTTGGAGTTCTCCTTGGTTGGGGAAGTTCCGGTGGAGGCAGTTCCGGTTGGTGTGGTCTGCCGGAGAGGAGCCACGTGGGTGGCGTTAGGGAGAGTTCCCAGGGAGTGTGCGTGGAGTGCTGTTGGAGTTCAGGCAATAAAGTTTCCTGTTTGAATATACAAGTGCTTTGTCGCAGCTCGGTGATTTGTGCCCAGCCAGACTGTGGCCACCAGCTAGTAAGCATCACCAGTATTTGAGTGCCTCAAGTCAAGTTCCTGATGTATTCATACATTTGTTGATGGTCCTGGCTTTTAAATGGCATTTGTGGATCTGGATAGAGTGATCATTCTCTGGAAACATCTCCTTTCTGTTATATTTATAGTCATACTGATCTATACATGTATCTTATTTACTTATTCTCCTTCCTTTCCAAAGATAATTCCAACTTGCCTTCCCTGATATAAGCAGCCAGGGATCATCCTTGTTGAGCAATGCTGTACTCAGCCGAGGATCAAGCCTTCAGTTAGTGGCAGACACTGAAAACTGTACCACAATATGACCGAGGGGAAAGGGAGAGCAAGTGGAAAGGTCATTGATGGAAGGCCAGATGCAATGATGAAGATATAAGAGGGGATAAATTACTTAAGGAAGGAGATTTGGGCCTTATTATAGTTTCTACACTTTATTTTTGTATACAAATATATAAAATGTACACCTTTTATGGCTATGCAGTCATCCAAAATGACATCAAAACTTCTGGGCTCAGCGACTGAGAGACATAAGGGATGAAATCACTAAGAATGATGCCCTTTGATAATGTCACATATATTTCCTAGCTATTCTTAGTCATTCTCTCTCCCCATATATGTCACACACACACACACACACACACACATATGAAGTTTTTAATGCTTCCATTTACTGAAGTAGAGAAAAAATGACTCAAAATGAATCATACAATAGGGAGAATTTTGGTCCTGAATCACTAGGACAAAACAGAGTGAAATTATAATTGTCTCCTTTCTTTGTCTTAACTGGATTTAAGACACTACTAACAGCGTTTCTAAGTGGTGAACTTAAGAGTTATGATTAACAAGCTCCTCAGATTTGATGATCACGGAGTCTTTCTACACTGTACAAAGATTCCTTAATCTTCTCAATGTCATACTATATTGCTGCCATGCTGGGCAGAGGGAGAAGAGGCACTTCAGACTCGTTGACAGAGTACCTTCTTGGTCTAAAAATATTTAGCCTTGGGTCAAAATGCATCCAGATGCAGAATGGCCAGGTCCTTTTTCCGTCAGTGTTCCTTTTTCCTGGAGCATCAGAACAAATGAAATGACTATATTTCATCTTAGATATTCTCCAAACATCCTGAGAATTGCAACTCTTACCTTTGGAGCCCATAGAGCACTACCAATCTCCTGAATGCAAAACCTCCTTCAAGGTCTAACAAGTTCCTGCCCACAGAGAGGCTGAAAAAAAGACTTGGCAAAACCATGAAAGCAATGCTGAAGGGAGCAGGGAGGGAGAGAATGCAGAATGGTTGGAAGACTCTAGGAAAGAACAGGCAGGACTGGCTGCAGCCTGCAAGAATTCTGGGTGTGCCGTCATTGGAATACAATGTTCCCAGACCAAATGCACCAGACAAGAGAAGTAGAAATTTGAGAAGTTGAAGAAAGGCTGGGAGCAGGGCAGGGAAGAAATGGTGAGGAGCATCAGCTTTGTCACTTAGAATCAGAAATAAATTTTGCCTCATTGTTTCCCAGCGTTCTATAGACCTTACTTTTTGGCCTTATATGATAAAGTGTTTTTCAGAGGTCTACGTTCTTCATAGTAATCCAGTTCCATGATACCTGATGGAAAAGTCAGATCCCAGCTCACTCACTTGTAAGCTCTGAAACTTCAGGGTAAGGTTTTCAAATTGCAACTATGTGTATCCTTTTCAATGATTGGGCACATTATATTTGCCTCAAGGGATTGTAGATTCTCACAACAGCTGGACTCTTGAAAGGCTAAGGGTTTTGAGTCTTCATGTTCTCTGAAAGCGAGCATAACTTCAGCTTGCAACCTGTGGCCCACGAAGGGTCCTAGTTATAACTTGCAGAGGGGGTAGGGAGGAGACATTTTGAGAAGCATTTCCATGCCCTATCAATTTGGACTTTCCTATCAATTTGGACTTCCAACCTTTACAGATACCCTGAGACTGAAAATCTCCACAGTCTAAAATGGAAAACAAGTCTCCCAATGCAAGTCCTACTATGAAGGACAGTGGCCTGAGCAAGAGAGGGAAGATACTTTCCATCTCAAGGGCCATTTGGTCAACAGGTGCTTTGGCTTTAGCTGATGGGTCTGCACTTTGGCCCTGCACAGCTACCATCTAAACTTGGGTGTAGGCTGGGACTCCTGCATGGGGTGCTTTACACTGAGCTATATTCTCAACCCTTTTTATTTTGGAATGGTGTCTAAGTTGCTGCGGTTGGCCTTGAATTTTTCTTTTCATATATATATATATATATATATATATATATATATATATATATATATAAGTTGTTGATGGACCTTTATTTTATTTATTTATATGTGGTGCTGAGGATTGAACCCAGTGCCTCATACATGCTGGGCAAGTGCTCTGCCACTGAGCTATAGCCCCAACCCATTTGAACTTTTCATTAGGTCTGATTTTTAACACGACCAAGTAAGAATAGGAAAAGTACTGCAGGGTTAATTAAATGTCTAAGGAAAGTCATTAGGCACTTGGCTTTCTTGGTCTTATGTGTCACTATTTTTACGTTTAAAAAATCCCCATTACTAAACTATTTTACTAAAAATTTTGGATTTATGCATCTAATTCTAGATATTTGTGTATATATGATCTCTATATTCTTACTTAAAGAATTCTCAAATAGCTACATTTTGTTGTTGATGGTGATGGTAGTGGTGGTGGTGTTGGGGATGAAACCCAAGGCCTTGTGCATGCCAGAGAAGTACTTTACCACAGCTACACCCCCAGCCCTGTATGCATTTAATTTTTAAAGCATAGCAAACACAGATTTTAGATTTAGGATATAGGACTTGAGCAGAGTTTTGTTGCTTTTACTCTTACAGGGTAGCATTATACACCACTTTTACTGAGGTTTTGTGGAGAATCCCATACTGTACAAACAATATCTGTGATTTTTGCTTCTGAATCAAAAAACAAAAAACAATTAGTGAGGTTATTTTTCTTCTCTGGTAAAGTATGAAGGAACCACAAAAAAAAAAAAAAGACAGTTTTCCTTTTTATTTAAAGAAAGTTGTGAGAAAGTAACTCATTAACAAATTTAACACTACTTGCATCAAGGGAATTGTGTAGCATTCTCAATTCTACCAAGGCAAAATGTCTTAGAAAAGAAATGTAACATTTCTCATTAAATGTGGTCTAAGTTGGCTATATCCAGCTTTTGATTTTTATGGATGTCGAGGAGAAAAGGCAGTTAAAAAGTAAAGGAGATTTTCAGTATTTCAGTATTTGGAGGAGCATAGAAAAGAAAGAATATAATATTTTCATTAGATCTGATTTTTAACATGACCAAGTAAGAATAAGAAAAGTACTGTAGGGTTAATTAAAACTAGTGTCTAATTGAAGAATGAAACATAAATTTGGAAACAAAATTTAAGGCTGCTTAACAAAAGAAATGCTTTGTTTCAGGTTGGTTGATTGGGTTTGCAGTGGATCTACAATTCACAAAAGTACAGTGTGGCTTATTTTTGTATAATTTAGATAATGTAGCATAATTCTTTTTGTTTTCCTCAGTAACTTTTAACTTTCATGATTGTCTGCATTTGAAGCCTCCATACTGGCTTATAAAATGGGAATGTAACTGTTGATTTTAGTTCGATGTCTCTGGGAAATGCATTCTGCTATCCACACAACATTTCTCATTTCTTGTTCCTTCAGCTTTACATATGCATAAAACACACCGTAGTGGAACTGCCTGTTGAATGCCAGCACATTCATTTGTACCTGAGGAAGGAAAAAAAACAACACGGGTGATCAACTTCTCTGGAACATACTGCACTTATGAAATAATATTAAGCTACAGACTGGCTTCTGTTCAATCAGTGCTTATTTGAATTTAAAAAGACAATATCCAAGTTGGGCCAAATGGAAGAAGAAAACAGTAGCAATTCAGTAAGTTCTAAAGGGAGCATTAGAACTTTGACCAATGCAGAAAGCAGCACTTTAAAAAACCAAGTGTATAGACTCATAATACAAACTCCAAATTTTAGCAGCACTGCTGCTAGGGTAAAGATTTCTAGGTGTATTTTGGAATGTGTGTCTAACTTTGTACTAATATTTGTCTGGCTTCCACCTAGTGAACTTGTCTCATTTAGGTACTCTTGGCCACAACTTTTAAAAATTGAAAAAGGTATTTAGGGTGTCTAACTCCCCTCTGGGGCAATGTCACAGGCTCCTGGAATTTAGATTGAGTGATATTATGAGCTTTTAAAAGATACTTGGCAGCAATTTTCCATACAGTTGTTTTATTCTGTAAAAGCTAAGTGAGCAAACAAAAATTGTCAAAAATAATTATTTAACTGGAATAAAGTTGGAAATTCCTTCCTTTGTTTCCATTTTGACATTTAGGATGGAAAAAAGGAGGAGAAGTATTTAGTTCCTCGTGTAGCTCTGAAAACACTGCACAAAACAGTCAGGAAGCGGAGGCTGCCTCTGTTCTCAGCAACAGATACTTATCCCTGCCAAGGGCAGCTTCTTTAATAGTCCCTTTTGCAGCAGTAGCACAATAATGTGGAATTTAGAAAGAACCCTAATATATTGGGTAATTTGCATTGTTGTTGCTTTTTTCTATGACAGACATGAGAACTCTCAGAAAATGGCTAAAGGGTAGGTACAAGAAAGTTTCCAAACGGCTTTCAGGAGCCAATCCAACCCTATTATTAGTTTCGGTCAGATTGAGATGGAAGGACCAATGATTTCAGAGAAATGAATACATGAGAAACATTCTCTAGATTTGGGGGGAATTTACCTGGTTGGGGGGAAACACTTTTGTTAAAACAGTCCAGTAGTCCACTAATTGACTATACATGAGTTAAGTACTCCTCTGCCTTTTTTAGGGAAAGAGAAGAGTCTAGAATCTCCAAATGGATTTCCATATAAATAATTCCTAAGATTTAAAATTGTGTCCATGTGTTTTAACCACAGGAAAACCCTTCCTGAAGGGAAAATGGATTAGAACGAGATGTACCAAACAGTAAGTATTGTCAATATTTGATGGTGAGGAGGTACTAACTGGCTTCTCTAGTTAATTATGGAATAGCTGCTTTCCTCCAGAGCATCCAGGGTTGCACATCTGTTTGTCCAGGACAATTCCATATGAAGCTATCATGTGTAAGCCGTAGAACCTTGGCACTCCAAGTCAGCCATTAATATGCTATTAACTGACACGCATTGATTGGCCTGCTCAACTACAAAAAAGAATACCCAAACTAGAGCATATTTAAAACCCACAGTAAAAGTATGTTAACTGATAGCCTTTTTTATTTATATCATACCTCATGCTCATAAAACACATCTTCCAATGTCTTTCCCCCATTGCCACCTACAGCCTCAAACAAAGGCTTGTATACCTTAAAAACAAAGACAAAGATTAATTTTTAAGAAATCTTCACTTATTATAAATGTATGTGAATATATTTTTCTAGAAATATAGAAACTGTGCGTTTATTTTTTTAAAAAAAAATCTATACCAGAAGCCCTGAATATTTTATGTGGGATCTTTGGCCTCTGGTCTGGACAAAAGAGAAAAATAATCCAAATAATAAGAGTGTGGATGAAATTCTAACCTCTTCACTTATTCAGGGATACAAGGCAAGAGGCAAAAGCTGACATTGTAGTCTCAACATACACTGTCAGAACTAATTACACACTCCAGTTCTTTGGACTCAGTGAACGCTTATAGTTTGATCAATATGGGTTCATGAGGGGAGATGACAACTGATAAAATTCACATGAAATTTCAAATGTGGAAGGGATGGGAATTGGGGGGAAAGCTCCTTTAATACTGTGTTGCATAGTCTCATGTAATTATTGGTGAGATGCTATGAAGGTCCATGTATCATTTGCTGACTTTTCTGTTTACTAGAGGGCTTCAAAAATCCACAGGAAGGGCTGGGGATATAGCTCAGTTGGCAGAGTGCTTGCCTTGCATTCTCAAGGCCCTGGGTTTAATCCCCAGCATCACAAACAAACAAAAAAAAAAAAAAAGAAAAAGAAAGAAAGAAAGAAAAAATTCCATAGGAAAAGATGAGTGTCATTCTAGTCCAGGTAAAAGTTACCTGGAGGGTATGCAACTGTCAGAAGTCAGAGGGAATAGAATCTGGGATGAGATATGTAACCTTGAGCTGAGAAGCTTCAGGCTATTTTAGAGTAGCTCAATGCTAGCAGAGGGGAAGAATCCCAGTAGTTCTCTTTCCTCTCCCAGTTTCTTATCTTTCTTTTTCTCCCCTCCCACCACATTCTGGGGATTGAACCTAGTTGTGCTTTATCAATGAGCCACATCCCCAGCCCTTTTTAAATTTTGAGACAGGGTCTTGCTAAGTTGCTTAGGGCCTCCCTAAATTGCTGAGGCTGGGCTTGAACTTTTAATCCTCCTGCCTCAGCCTCCTGAGTCACTAGTATTACAGGTGTGCACCACCACATCCAGCCTCTCCTGATTTCTGCTATTCAGCAAAGGGAGTGGAAAAATGCATGCATATCTCCATTCCTGTCCTGTAGTTGAGGTAGTTATTTGGCCCCTTGCCAAATATCTACCTCAATGAGTACTTGAAAAGACCACTAGGTCAGGGTATTGCACATAACTTTGACATGAGCTCACATTTCTAGAACACCACATCAGTCTCTTGGGTAACTTGGTTTATCAAGCTCTTCAAAGGAGTGCTCAGATGGCCACTCCTTAGAGATTTAAACAAATACTTGCTTGTCAAAAACCTTAAAAAAACACACTTGGACCAGAAACTTGAAGTATGTCTTTGGGAGGGATGATTCTTTGTTACCTAATAAACTATAACTTCTATTGACAGGAAGTATAAATTGGATGTGTGGGCTTCTAAAGCATATGTGAAGAAATTGCACAAGGTAGCAGGGTGTGGTGGCGCACACTAGTAATCCCAGCAGCACCGGAGGATTGAGACTTCAAAGCCAGCCTCAGCAACTGTGCGGTGCTAAGCAATTCAGTGAAACCCTGTCTCTAAAAAAATACAAAATAGGGCTGGGGATGTAGCTCAGGGGTCAAGTGTCCCTGAGTTCAATCCCTGGTACCTTAAAAAAAAAAAAAAGAAGAAAAAGAAGAAATCACACAAGGTCACAAGGTGCTTGGGGCACCTGGGGTAATCACATACTCCATAATGATCTGCTACTCTCTTCATCTGGTCGAAGTCTTCCACTTGAGCCAGCAAGCGCAACCCCTCTGGATGGAGCTTTCCACAGGTCGGATAGAGGGTCTCCCGGTCTTCCTTGCTCAATTCAGTGCCAAAGGAGTTAAGAGTGATGATAAAAGCTCGTCTGTCAGCCTCAAACTGAATTTGCAAGACAAAAATCAGTAAAATCTAATAATCTACAAAATGGTCTAAACAAAACCCTAAGCAGGCATTCATTTCTGAAGTGATTTGCTTTCTTTTTCTGACCTCTGTCTAATTTGAATGCAGACATATTATTAATGTTCCCTTAGTCTCTTTTTGGAAAGGAGTAACTTTGCTTCCCAGAGCAGGATCTACAGTGAGGTGATGACCTGCGACCCTTGAAACCCCACCAAGTTTTATTTCCCAGACACCCTGCATCTCTGTCATGTGGGCTACTACAGTCACATAAAAAATGGAGACTAGTACCATAAAAATGGGAATACGATGCATTATAGTGCAGTCAGGGACAGAATAAGACCATATAAGTGGAAGTGCCTAGCACAGTTTTGGGGGGGGGGGGAGTGCATTTCATACAAGTTAACATCTCTTTCTAAATGTTGTCAGTATAATTGTGGGTGTGGGTATGAGCACACGCCTGCACATACATGCAGGGCTGGGGATTGATTCCAGGCCCTCATGCAAGCTAGGCAGGTGCTCTACCACTAAGTGATATCCCTAGCTCATAATTTTAACCATTTGTTTCTATTTTCATGGTTTGGATTTTCTTTTTTAGTATCCTTGATTAGATATAAAAGAAAATCCAACTCTGTACCTAAGAATTCTATGGCTTGGGTGAGTTATCTTCCTCTCAGGGCCTATGCTTCCTTATTCGTAAGAGGATGGGGTTGGCTACATGATCCTCAAGGTAAGTCAATATAAAGCCACTAGCTCCCATCCTCATGTAAAACCTAGTTCATCCAATCACTCATTCTAGAGACTTCCTTCTTTTCATTTGCTGTCCATGTTTTTACTATCTCTTGGTTCTCCTTCTACCTATTCTGACCATTCCATCTTATTCTATCCTTCCAGGATTCCTCTCCCACCTACCCTGGTATTTGCCATGGTCACTGGCCTCAGAAACTTGAAGTGCCCTATACTTACACATTAGTTTGAAATCTGTGCCTGTGTTTTATGCTCACTGCACTCTTAGATCTTTGAGGGATCAAATCTCTTCTTCCTTGTTCATTTTTGAATAACTAGTGCCCAACACACAGGAACATCTTAACTGTTTACTGAATCCAATAGAACAGTCTGTGGTGTTATTACTTTCCAAGTTCTCTAATATTTTCTACAATGTTGTTACTCAGTATTTCACAACTCAGTAGGAGTTTGTCACTAGGAAGCCCGAGGGAAATGCAGAGTCTCAGGCCACAGTCCGGACCTACTGAACCAGAATCTGCTTTTTAACAAGATTCCAAGGTTATTCATGTGCCTACAGAAGCTGAAAAGAATTTTTCTGTGCTATCCTTTAATCATTACTTCTGATAATTAACCAGTGACAAAACCAGACTTGCAACAGATTTTACTGGAATTCTTTTGTTAGAACAGGTGTTTCCTATCAGAAGGAGAGTGAGAGTTTTGTCTGATCCATTTGATTGCTCTCATGGAAATTATGGGTGGGCCAGGAGCTGGGAGTGGACCTACTGGGAAGCAAAAGCAGCTGCCTCTGGCTACTGAAGAGCACCAGACCTGTCAGTAAGTTTAGACCTTGAAGGGACAAAAGAAGAAATGCCAAGAGGGAGATTCACAGCAACAAGAAACCTTAAAATAAAAATTAGGGCAGGAGGAGCAACAATGGAGGTGATTGTCCCAGATGTTCTTTTATGTGTTTTCTAGTTCTAAGATGTTAGGATTTTGAGGCGAGAATTAGGGCAAGGTAGGCAGCACTGCAGATATGCAAGACAGCAGAGGCCATGCCAGAGGAGGAGCCTGAGTGAAGGAGGGCATGACATTTTGGAGGAATGATTGTAATTCAAACATCGGGGAAGCAATTAGAGAGGTGGGTGGACTGGTAACTGGGGAGAGAACATGAAGGGCTTAACATGCCCTGTCAAGAACAGAGGACTTCAACAGACACAATAGTTACGGGAACATTCTGTACACTTGCCAATTCCTTGTCCTTATTACTACTTCTTCCCCTAGCCTGCAACACATAGACCCTGTACCATACCTCTGCATGTTGAATTCCCTGTATTTGAGGGCCCCATCAAATGCCATTTTTCACAATAAGCCCTTCTATTTCTTCCCTAAGTGGACATGATTTCCTTTGAACCCCTATTATACTTTCATTTCCCTCAAGTATAACTATGTGAATATCCACCTTATTCTTCTACTGTAGAGGCTGTGTGTGTGTGTGTGTGTGTGTGTGTGTGTGAATCCTCTCAGTGAAAAGAACTATAATTTTAGAATTATGAAAAGACTATTCTTTGATCATCCCTAAGTGAAGTTTGACAACATCTGACTACAGGAAATCAAATGGGGTGTTACTGGTTTGATTTAGCTCCTGTTTTCTTTGCAGGGAACTGGGTTCCTATGTGGCACAGTGTATGTTGCATGCCCTTACCACTCTAGAAATATTCATTTTCAAATCATAACTTATTTTTATTGTTGTTAAGAAAAAAACATACTGTTGACTTATTCAGTAATTATCAGTTGTATATCATAGAGTTGAACTGATCAGGTCACACATTGCCAGTTCCTTAAAGGAAAAAGGATACACCTGGTGGGGTTCAGAGAGCAGAGGTGTCCATGGCAATGGAAGGGTGAGGTGAACTGGAATCCAGCCCAACCTTATTGCCTGTGTACTGTATCATTAACCATTTACAGTAGATGGAAGATCAGGAACAAAAGGTGATAGTATACTGCAATGTATTTGTTTTGAATTTTAATCAATTTCTTTTCTTCATATGGAGGTACAATCTTATAATGAGGCCAAATTTTCACATGCAAGTCTAGATTTATGCTCTCTTCTATCATCTTAAGTCTTTTGAAGAAACCATCAAGTGAGATTAAATGAGCATGTATATGAAACTTTATAAATTTATCTCTAACTGCACAAATGAAAGGAAGGTAATTACATGATGAAAAATATGTATGTAAAATGAACAGATCTTCTCTGAACATATTATTAGAAAGGTTATAATGTTGTCCAGCATGCCATGTACAGCTGTATAGTGGTAGCTGAATTTTCATTTTTAATAGTTAAAAAAATTATTCTAATTTGATAGTATTTTGAAGATAGGAAAGAAAAAATGAGAACACTGGGCTTATAGTTATTTGGTCAAATTCTTTCAGCGGCAAACATTTTTCTAACACTATTGTGTCTTTTTACACTAGTGAGGATTACAAAAACATAATTCTTACTGATTTCTGAATTTTTAGGCCATACAGTAGGATCTTGCTTATGAATTAGTACTTTATACAGAACAACTGTGAATGGTGAAGTTCATACAGAGGCATAGGGCACAGCTGACAACCAGGAGCCAGGCTGCCTGGTTCAGATCCTGACACTACCACTTACTAGAGTTATAACAATAGGTAAGTCACTACCCTTCTCTGTGCCTCAGTTGTGCTTTCTGAAAACCAAATACTAAAATGCCCATTTTGTTGTGCACTTCTGAAGTCCATGTGAATTCATGAATATAAAGCACACAGGATAGACTATCGCATAGTAAATGTTGGCTATGAATAGCGCCATTTTATACCTTTTGTAAAGTTATAAGTTTTAACAAAACTTTTATTTCACATATTTCTAGGTTTAAGATATACAAAACCATTTCTAAACCATAGAAATGATGCCAACTAAAAACTAGTTGTGAACGATAAATAATAAGACTTTTTCCAATAGGGAGACATTTTTATAATAAATAAGACTTACTGTGTGGCTAAAATTATGAAAAGAAAGAGGGCAGTTTCATAAGGTCACTAGGTTACTCATATTATATGACCAGCATGAAAGAGACTAGCTCACTTTCTGATTTTAAGTTTGTCATGAAAAAAAAAAAAGTTATTTATTTATTTGATACCTTCTTCTTGTATAACATGGATAAGGATAAACATAGTTTTGGAGTTCTTTACTTTTTGTTGATCTTTACTTCAAGCAGTGCAATGGTTTTAAGAATTTCAACAGGGGATACCTACATATTTTTAACTGTAAAATTTTAATGATTAGATATATGAGGAAAACTAATTTCATATATGCAGTAACAGAACATTAGATTAAAATACATGCAAATGATGTTCAGTTGTTGCTGCTTTTTTCTTATGTTGCTTAGATTTTTCTTGAAATCAGAAGTCTTTGGGTTATCTCAATATCTATCCACCTGTGAAGTCAACATAACAGATAACCTATGATTAAAAATATTCTTTACATAAAACTTAGTTTCAGAGGACAAAACTTCCCTGCCCTGATCATGCATGCATTTGTAAATCCACCTTCATGCAAGAGGCCCTCTAAGCATAGATAGAATCATGGTGATAAAGAGGAATTAAAAAGAGTATAATATCTGCTGCAGAAGTAGACAAACCAGCACTCCACCACTGAGCTATGCCCCTGGGTCCCAAGCAAATACTACTCTTAATTTAAGACATCAAATGACATATATAATCAAGTGTCTGCTTATTTTTTACATGGCTTCTAAGATAAAAAAAATATAAGCAGGGTCAAAACAAGAAAAAGTATGTAAACACATTATTTGGCATAAAATATTCAGGGGCTCTTTCTTACCTCAAGAATGGGACACATAATTTCTGCTGTGACATCACCATGATTCTCACAAAATTTATAGAATGCCTCAAGGTAAGACTGAAAAAGAAGAAAGATCATAAAACAATAAAATGAATATGTTTTCCTTTTGGAAATTTCTAGATCAGTTTTTTTATGGAGTATTAAATGCTTTTATGGCAATTGAATTATTTTTTTTCCAATAGGGAGACATTTTATAATAAATTTGGTAGACACTTTCATGTTGTGGCATGTTGCACAGACTAAAAAAGAACTCCATAAAAGAACAAAATGGCACTTATCATAACTTATAATTATGCATTTTTTTTGCATGGTTCTTGAATTATTTCACATGGTTAATTCTGGCTATTCTAACAAGAGTGCCAAGTTCTTTTCTGAGCCTAGCAAGTGATTTTAGCGGCCCTGTGCTGACATTTAATCTCTCAGAAACATATTTGGGATGACTTGAGTGTGAGGATATATTGGAAAGACAGACTAGGTTGCAGGGTCAGACTGCCCATGTGTGAATCCCAATTCTCATGCTTACTAGCTAACTAACATCTACCAAGGAAACCCTATATCTCCATGTCTCAGTTTTTTCACCTGAGGAATGGGTATGGTAGAAATCCCAGTTTGGCTGTTAGATGAAGTAAGTTAAGGCCTACAAATGGCTTAGAGTGGTGCCTTCTGTTAGTTATATCTCAGGGACATCTCCTTAAAGCCCACAAGTCTTTTTATAAAAAGAAAAATTGCTTGTAGTACAATACTTTTGAGAGGACCATGTGTTTAAGCTAAGCATGCTATACATAAATGACACTATATATTAATTTATCCTGTGGGAGTATCCAAAGATGCTACAAAGGTTGGAATGAAAAAGGGCAGATTTGCTCAGCTCATACACAGGGCTACTCTAATGGTGGCAACACAGTCCATACAGTTGGATTGTGCAAAGTGGTGTATGTTTTTAATTTTGGTGACTGCTGCACACTGTACTTTAAAATTGTGTGGGCAGGTTAACTATGAGATGTGGGGACTCTATAACAGGATCAACGACAGTGAGGGACACTATATAGCAGAAGGTTTACTATGCATGCTGGTTACTTTAAATGGATTGATATGGTTCACCCCACTCTTTTATCCATCCACCTACCACCATCCAAACAACACCTTTTATATTCTGGGAACTGTGCATGGAGCTAGGAATACAGAAGTACGGGTAATGCTATTTCCTTTCAAAAATCTTGTTGGCTGAGGGAAGCTGACATGCATGAATGCAATGGGAAGACAGACAAAAAAGAACTACATTCCAAATCTGCATAGCTTCATTATTATAGAAGTTGGCTGATGGGCAAAGTAACTTTTGTTGATAAAGAACTCTGGTTATGATACATTGCATAATCAAGAAAAATATAATATTCAGGAAAACCATTACCTTATACAGTTTATTGCGCAGCAATTCAATATTCAGCTCATCTAGGGTATTTTCAGACATACAGTCTTGAAAGAATGGAGCTGAAAACAGAAATTTATCACAAAAAATAAATAAATCAAAGGCAAGATTATAAAGTGTAGATAACATTTCCTGAACACACGACTCTCTGTTCACGCCTAATGAGAACACTATGGAGTTGCAATCTACAGACTCAATAAGGCTAGCAGGAACTAGGATGATAGAAGTTATTATTTATAGAGCATTTACTATGAATGAGGCCTGGACACTGCTCACTGTACTAAACACTGAATTCATTTTGGTTTATTTTAATCTTCTCAGCACCTTGGAACTATTCACTGAAGGCTCACTTTTTGAAATCCCTCCTTTATATCCCCAACACATGGCTGCTTATCTAGTAGTAATATTTATCATTTGCAACCTAATTTATGCTGTTATGGATAAAAATTATGTCACAGTTAGTTTGCAAAACTCTGTTACCACAAGATATGATTATTTCCAAAATGAAGAAACTGGGATAAATTGAGTATTCCCAAGTCACCTTGGTGAGACCAGGCAGAGCCTGACTTCAGCTCATATCTGATTCTAGACTCACCCCTTTTCCATAGGCTATGTTGCCTTAGCCTTGGACACAAAAGGGTGACACAAAGTTTTTTCTTTTTTTTGCCTTTTTAAATTTCTGTCTTAAATGGCAATCATTTTGGCTAGGGGTGCAGCTTAGTGGTAGAGTACATTCTTATTACACAGGAGGCCTTGGGTTTAATCCCCAGCAAGTTAAAATAAAAGGCATCTATTTTGACAAATGATTAACAATGAAATGCTACTATCCAGATTTCCTGACAATAATAGATAAATAATACTCATAAAGTTATTCCTTTAGCATTGTTAAAGAATAAGATTGCATTATTAAATAATAATAATAATAATAATAAATGAACATTCATAGTACAGGGTTTGCAAGTTGGAAGATGATCCCCAGCTTCTTCTCCACTATGAATGGTTCACATGTGACCCTAAGCAGGTTGATTCATTTACCTTAGCCTGAAAAATGATGGATCAAGATTAGAAGAATCTGCTGGGCACAAAGGCACACTCCTATAATCCCAGCAGTTTGGGAGACTAAGGCAGGAGGATTGTGAATTCAAAGCCACCCTCAGCAATGGCGAGGTGCTAAGCAACTCAGTGAGACCCTGTCTCTAAATAAAATACAAAATAGGGTTGGGGATAAGGCTCAGTGGTTGAGTGCCCCTGAGTTCAATTCCTGGTACTCCCCCCTCAAAAAAAAAAAAAAAAAAAGATTAGAAGAATCTTTAAATGCCCCCCCCCCCAACTGCAGCAAATCTGTATTGTATAAAAACACAATCATGTTAGAAAAAATTATGAACTGAAAGCACATTTTCTACTGACTGGGATAGCATACATGGGCAGCTTATGCATGCATACCTAATGGTGTTTCAACCAGAACAGCATTAAAGAGATCTGAAGTGGTCTCTGCAATGTTGACAGCTTCCATTTCTGTGAAACGGCCCAATGGGTGGCACTTGGCCAGAATCTCTTTCACGGATTTTTTCTGCAATGCACCATTCATCAGTAGAATCACATTGTCTATCATGTAACTGCACCTGGTTTAGGAGAAGACTCAAATATTAGAGAACCAACTGCATAAAGAAAAGCAGCATCCCATAAGTAAAAAAATACAGTTCAGCCATAATCTCTTTCGTTTAAAAAGGGAACATTTTAAAAATTTTAAACTCTGAGGTTTAGGAGATATAGTGGATAAAAATATCAGTCATAGTTTGAAAAACCACAATCAACTAATTAACAAACTTTAACTGGTGGGGTTGGGGATGTAGCTTAGAGGGAAGGCATTTGCCTACATATGTGAAGCCCTGGGTTCAATATCCAGAACTAAAAACAACAACAACAACAAAACCTCGGCTGGTAGGAATATGCAAAAGATGGCCATTGTGCAATAATCATCAGATGTGGTGGAACAGAAGTGAGGGTGTGAAGTGTTTGATTTATCAAAATGGACTCCAGTCCTGACAGACCTAGAGCACCTCATTCTACTTTAAAAATTGACTATTCAAATCAACAGTGAAGCCTATCACAGAAAATTCAAAATTCATGCTAAAAATATTCTGTGTTCTTTCCTCCTATGAGACCAGGTAGTGAATTTTCTAGCCACTCAACCCATGTCCTCAAGAGCCCATAGGTTTATACTTTTTGTGATTTCTTTACTTGATATAAATTGTGCCTTCAAAACTGGGTGAATGTGTTTGTTTGCTCATGTTTCCAGCACCTAAGATATTCCAAGAAATCAGATTGGGGAGTAAAGGAGACCCAGTCCCTTGCTTCACATGGAATACAGTTCAAGGTAGGATCTAACTGAACAAAGAATCATTTACAGTAAACAATAATGAAGCGTACACATGCTATACAAAAGAAACAAAGGGTGGTGTGGTGATTGTAGTTGTATTGTAGGGATAGATGAGGCAAGGCACCGAAGATAGCAGGAAACAGTTTTATTGGGCTGCAGCCAGGTTCAGAGGGCACAGCTTTTGCTGTAATCAATCAATCCCCTAAACCCCGAGTTCAGGTAGTTTCAGAGTTTTATATCCAGTGTGTAAGGGGAGGGGCTCAGAAGTTAACATAAAAGCAGCTTTTTCTTTCACTGTTTTGGGCAAGTGCACTCTTCAAGGATAGCACTTGAAAAGGGGAGAGCTTCTTCTCCTCTTTCTTTCCTCCCCCTGCCAGCTGTTACCATGGAGCCCAATTGGTAACTTCTCTTACCTTAGAAATGTAGACATCTCTGTGAAGCCCAGCTCAAGGCCAGAGGCCTTGTTTGTACATTTCTACAAATTACTATACTGGATACGTTTGTGAAAAACTAGTAAGGGGTGTACAGAACCTGGAGTGCTGATTTCTTCCTGGCCAGTGTCCAAATAAGATAGAGCAACACGAAAATAGGAAGTTTATCTACATTAAACTCTTTTGTAGAGACTCTTGCTGGCAGTCCTAAAATCAGCTATGGTGAAGATTTCTGGAGCAGCCCAGTTAAGTCTTTTCTGTGGAGAAAGGGGGGTGCCACTACAGTTGGAATCAGACTTCCTATGGAAGTAACATTTCAGTTGATACCTGAAAAACAAGGAGGAGCTTTGCAGGCACAAGGGGCCAGAAGCTGGGGGGAAGTATGTCAAGGAGGAAGGAAGAACATTTGAAAAGCCCCGACCATGACAGCACAGAATATTCAGAATTTTTTTTTTTTTTTGGCCTGGTATTGAGACATGAGATGGGGCTGAGGCAAGCATGCACAGTCATGGTAGACCAGATAAGGAATTTGGATGTTGAAGGTAATGAAGGATACTGAATACCTTTAAGTGGAAGGGAGTGTTATCATCTATGTATTAAATATTAGAACAGGAGAAGAGGTAAATACACACATATAGTATGAGGGCTTTGTAAAACTTACCTTATTTAATCTTGATAAGAACACTGTAAGGTAGAGTCTATTCTTATTTCCATTTTACAGGTGAGGAACCAAGACCCAGAGAGACACAAACCAAGCCCGTAACACATACAGCTACCAAGTGGGCAACTGAGAATCGAACTCAGCTGAGACCCTATTCATAACCCTTATCCATGCTGCTTTTAATCATCAGGTATGATGCATAGGTTTCTAGAAGTTAGATTTGGAGGCTACTTAATGAGATGAGTGCATTGGAGGAAGAGGAGGTTGCAGTGAGTACAGATATTTTGAGTGTAATGAGTTTAAGGTGCCCAGGAGATATCCAAGAGGAGGTGCTAGGGAAGCCTCAGAAGTCTGAATCCTGGAAACAGTGGTAGACTAGAGGCATTTGGGAGGATCTGGAGGGAGGGATTGATTCATTCTTTCTATCTATCTATCTTTCTATCTATCTATCTTTGCAGTACTGGGGATTGAACCTAAGGGTGCTCTACCACTGAGCTACATCCCCAACCCCTTTCCCCTCACCTTTAAAATTTTTAGACAGGGTTTCATTAAGTTATCCAGGCTGACTTCAAACCTGTGATCCTTCTGAGTTGCTGAAATTACAGGTGTGTACCACTGTGCTCAGCAAGGAGGGAGTCATTTAAAGGTGGAAGCCAAAGTCTTGGGAATATCTAAGATCATATCCCAGAAGGAATGTAAAGTGTTCTTTCCTGATAACTCTGGGGAGTTCCAATATTTAAAGACCTTGAAGAAAACTGAAAAAGATGATCAGATGGGAGGAGAACTGAGGTGTGAATACTAGAGAGCTCTAGAAAGAAGTGACAGAGTGTCAAAGGGCCAGATATGTCAATGAAAATAGACATCCATAGATATGACAGCTAAAAGGTCATCTGTGAACTCGATGAAAACACTTTCAGGGGGTTGGGGCTGTAGCTCAGTGGCAGAGCGCTTGCCTAGCATGCATGAGGCCCTGGGTTCGATCCTCAGCACCACATAAAAATAAACAAATAAAATAAAGGCATTCTACAACTACAAAAATAAATTAAAAAATTAAAAAAAAAAAACAAAAACACTTTCAGGGGAGTGTGTTTGTGGGAGAGAGAAGAAAGTAGAAGCCTGACCACTGTGTCTTTGAATAAATGGGAAGTAAGGAGGCTAAAGAGAGAGTTCCTATCAAGAGTTGAATGGAAAGTAAAGGGAAAGAGCTACATGAAAATATAGGGACCAAATGAGTTTTAGCTTTGAGTTTTAGTATTTTTTTTAAAAGGTGGGAGAGAAACAAAGATGTTTAAGTGCTAAATGGGAATGAGGCAGTGGAGAAGGTGAATGTGCAGACAGCTGAAGAGGGAAGGGACAGTCCCCATATGAGCTGAGGTTCTCAAGGTTTGACAGTGACAGGGCTGAACTGTCACAAGATAGACTTGAAAAATGACACCTTGCAATGGATTAAAATTAACCTGGACACTTAGAAGCACTGTCTGCAGAATGGCTTCATGAGTTGCAGACTTCCTGCACAAGAATTGATTTCTGAAAAGTAAGGCTCCTTCTCTGTGGAACTTCTACAGTTTACCCCAATAAAAATTCTAACTAAAGAAGTTTTTGAAGTAGGCAATTATCCCTTTATAAAAAGCACATGACTATACAGTTTCTTCACCTCCCAAACAGCAGTACCAAATTTAGACATTATGGAATTTTAGAATCCTTTTTATCTCTTGAAAATGATATTAAAATGGAAGCGCTTATTTAACTGTCCCTTTATGGCTCAAAAGCAATTACCTGAGAAGGGAATTGCTAGCTCTTAATAATCCTTAGCTGGCTCTAGACATTTAATTGTTCCCCACAGCATCCCTGTAATGTAAAAGCATATGAGCTGTTAACATGCCCAATCTGCAGAGGACTAGGAGACTGATGTTGATGGGTGACAAATGTCAATGCTATAAGCAGGATTTCACCCTCATGTAACAAACAAGTCTGTGACTATATAGCATGTGTGCATGTGTGTGTGTTGAGTATGCTTGTTGTTGTTGTTATTGTTATTATTATATTAATAGAGTGGCTAGGTCCTGTCTTACAGTCAGTAAGAGTTTTATAGATTGAATTCAATTTTATTTCCACTCCTTATTTGAGTGACTTTGTTTCTAAAATGGGACAGTAATACCAGTTATTGTGGTGTTCGGGAAATTAAGGCCAAATCCAGGGCTTGGCTCATGCTGGGGGCAGAGGTCTCTTTCCTGTCCCCTTTCTTCTCCCCATCAGATATCTGCATCAAATATCATTATTACTGGCTGTTGGGGTGGAAGGTAACCTGCCCAAGACAGTTCATTCCGCTCTAGACTGTAGTCTTTATAGACCTCCAGGGCCATGCCTCCACTGGCAAGAATAAAATAATTGCTGAGCAATTTTTGATCTTTAAGACATCCAGTTATTCATCTAGTTCAAACCCACATATTTCAGATAATTCTGTTCATAAGTAATGACAGAGCCAGGGGCAGTGCCTAATCAGTCAGATTAATTTTTCTCTTATTCATGGTCTATACAAAAATCCTTATTTCCAGCCTTTTTAAGTATTTTATTCTGTAACTCTGATATAAGCACCTGTGAAAACCACGAACTCATCTAAAACTGTGATAGACTAATTAAATTACTCAATTTTAAAAATGTTAGGTTATAAAAATATATTTTTAAAATTCTACATCTTGGGGCTGGGGTTGTGGCTCAGTGGTAGAGCACTTGCCTGGCATGTGTAAGGCACTGGGTTCGATTCTCAGCACTGCATATAAAGAAATAAAATAAAGGTCCATTGACAACTAAAAAATATTTTTTAAAAATTCTAAGTCTTTTTATTTATTTATTTTAAAAAATGTTTATTTATTTATTTTTCTATGTGACAGGCATTATATGTATTGCTGAATTAGAGGAACTTTCTTCTATGGGTAAAATTTTAGTACTTCAGTGTCTTAGCAAAAGCTGGGAAATGGCTGTCCTTGGCTGAGCACCCTGGCATGAGAGAAGAAACAGAGTCCAGTGAAGATCTCCAGTGTGCTGTGCCATGCCAGTACAGGGAGCGGTCCCATAGTTTGTTTTGTGCCCTAAAACCTTCCAGACCTCAGGGCTGTGCATCATGGTGTGGTTTAGAGAGAAAAGTGGGAAAAAGCACTTGGGGAGAATGACAGTTGTGAAAAGGAGGTGGAAGGGACCCAGCATGATGGCCTTCCTGTAAGTTCTCTTAGGCAGTTCTAGTGTGTATAGGCATTCAGGATCTAGAAGATGGTTACCTTGCCATTATTCCCATGTTCATAACACTTGGAAAGTTACCCCCCACACTTAGGGGGACATGTAACACAGTTGAAAAATTGCTATCCTAGAGGGCATTCAAAATTTTTTCACTAGGATGACTTTTAATTTCATTTTTCTTTTCTTGCACTACTGAGATTGAACCCAAGGGTATTCTACATCTGAGCTACATTCTCAGCTCTTTTTATTTTGGAGCAGGGTCTTGCTAAGTTGCCCAGGCTAGCCTGAAACTTGTGATCCTCCTGCTTCTGGCTCCCAAGTAGCTGGGAGTATAAGGATGTGCCACTGCACTGACTTAATTTCTTTTTTTTTTTTTAATTTTAGTGTTCTAAAATGCACATATTAGAAGAATTTTTGTGCATTTTTAAATTACTGGGGTGTATCAAAGGATGGTGATCACTGATCTAAGAAGACAGAAAAGACATTGGACACTACACAGTGAAGAGTTATTAGTCACAATGTCATTTGTCCCTCAGATAAAATCCAAGAGACTCTTATTGGAGAGTTAGATTGCCGGTGCGCTAATGAGCACTGAATCAGAGTGAGCAGAGACAGAGGTAAATTCAGGCTTTTAAAATGAAATCAAAGGGAAAAAATGTGGAGGGGGTTCATTATGGCCCATGGAAGTATTCCAAGGTTTCCTTGTAGAGCCTCTTGCTTCAGCATCCCAAGTAGCTGGGATTACTGGCATGTACCACTGTGCTTAACTATCCCATCGTGAACATCTTAAATTAGTATGGCATATTTGTTATAATTAATGAATCCATATAGACATATTATTATTTTTTAGTTGTAGTTGGACACAATACCCTTATTCTATTTATTTATTTTTATGTGGTGCTGAGGATTGAATCCAGGGCCTCTCACATGCTAGATGAACACTCTACCACTGAGCCACAACCCCAGCCCTATGCATATTATTTTTGACTCAAGTCCATAGTTCATTCAAACTTATTTAGTTTTAACTTAATGTCTTTTTCTGTTCTAGGATCTCATCCGGGACACCACATTGCATTAATTGCCACATCTTTTCAGGCCTCTCTGGGTTGTGGCAGTTTCTCAGACTTGTTTTTGACAATCCTGGTAATTTTGAGGAGTACTGGTCAGAGATTTTATAGGATGCCTCATTACTGGGAGTTGTGTGTTTTATTATAAGGCTTGGGCTGTGACCACATAGGTAGAGTGCTATTTTATCACATCATATCAAAGGTATGGATTAGTATTACCATTATTTGTGACTGTCAATGTTGACCTCGATCAACTGGCTTAAGTAGTATCTGTCAGGTGTCTCCAAAGTAAAAGTACTCCTCCATCCTTTTCCATATTTCATTTTTTTGGAAGGAAACTTCCATGTCTCTGTGTTCAGGATACTTAAGAATTAGGGATGCTGAACGGAGAAATAGCCAGATACCAATCTCTTAAAAAAAATTAACTAAACAAAAAAGTTGGGTTCAGTGGCACAAGCCTGTAGTCCCATCTACTCAGGAGGCTGAGGCAGAAGAACCACTTGAACCCAGAAGTTCAAGACCAGCCTAGATAACATAGTAAGACCTCAATTCAAAAGGAAATAAATAAATAAAATTAATTAAATTAAAAACAAAAAAAGGATAGAAGAAAGATTTGTGGTTCTCATCTCCGAGCACAAAGTATCTACGTAGATCATTTGGAATTCTTCACCAAGGGAGTTTTGTCCCTTCACCTTTATTTATTAATTTGTTTAACCATTTACTTATACCAATACAGATTTGCGGATATTTATTTTATACCTGGGGTGATGATTCAATGCTACTTCCTCTATTTTGTTGCTTCAAGTGTTCCAGACGTTGGCCACTTCAAGCTCCTTCAAGTGGCTCCTCTGATGTACCCGTGACATCATGGTGTGTGTTTGTACTTATCTCTAGCATTTTCTTACTTTATAGCACTACAAGGAAGTCCAGGCTCATCTTGAATACTTCCTGCCTCAGTCCTAGAATCGATTATTTCTCCAAGGACATCTGGTTCCTTGTCTGGGAGAAGGGCATTAGAAATCAAGATCTAGGCATGAGCTGAGCTTATTACTAGGTTGTTGTTCCTTTTAAGTCCTCTTAGCCAGCAGAGCAAAGAAATATTTATGTGTATAATTAACCAAGGATGCTATTTTTGACATTATTCTCTTTCAGTATGTTCCACTCAAAGTTCTCACCCATGGCCACACTTTTCTCTCTATCATGTAGAAGCAGACTTCTTGCAAATCTTCAACTCTAATCAAAATCTCTCTGCCCAACCTTAAATCCATATTCCCCTCCCTCTCTCTTTACATATATTTTTTTGTGGTGTTGTGATAAAACCCAGGGGCTCACTCATGCTAGGCAGGCACTCTCCCACTGAGCCCCAGCCCCAGCCCTGACCCATATTCTTGTCCTTTCTTTTTGCAGATATGACTGCCTGATTTCCCCACAGGCCCCTAAATCATGTGATCTTAAAACCTGAAGGCACTGAATCTGTTTCTCCTTCTCTCTTTATCAGTGATCAGAATAAAGCACAAGTTTTTCATCCTTGTATATAAGGTCCTCTATTAATTGGTCTGTGATTTCTTCTCCAGCTATGATGTGGATAAAAATCATTAAAAACGAAGTATACATTTTAGAAGAGAGCACAGGACAGACCTCTGAAAGTTCTTAAGGGGCAGAAAGGAGATTTTTGAAAGATAGAATGGAAAGGAGTTAGAATGGTCAAAGGAGTGAAAAGAAAAAGTGTCATCACAAAATGACTGAGACAGGACGTCAACAACCCGTTAAGTGCCATGGTGAGTTGGGAAGGGGCTGAAAAGCATCCTTGGGCTTAGCAACTAGCAAGGTTTTGGTGACATGATGGGAGAGGAAACAAGACTGAAGTGGATGAGTAAACAGAAAATAGAAGGCCGATTAATCTTTTCACAAACTTGCCCTCATGGGAGAAGAAGACTTCACAGGGTCACTGAGCAAATTATATCAAAACACACATATAAAGACAGTCTGTCTATGGGGTATGGTGGTACACACCTCTGATCCCAACTATTCAGGATGCTGAAGAAGGAGGATTGCAAATTCAAGGTCAGACTGGACAATTTATCAAGACCTTGTTTTCAACAACAACAACAACAACAACAAAATAGCAGCTTGTAAATCAAAAGAAGTTGTCACAGAAGAAGTCTGGAATTTGGAACAGATAATCCTGATTTTAAGATCGGTTCTGTCACTTAAAAACCAATTTAACAAGTATTCCATTTCCTCAGTTTAAAATGAAAATATTTGTTCAATTTTGAATGGTTGGCATCAGGACTTGTAAATACTTATGAAAGTACTGGCAGAGGGCTGCCCCGAATAAGAGAGAGATTTTCCTATAAATAGATTTGTGCAGGATGGGAGTAGAAAATATAAACCATGTAATCTTTAATGTGAAAAAAAAATAAGGTTTTTACTCATTTTTAAGCCTGAGATTTCTGCATCTCTGAAGTCTTACATTTAGTTCCAGCTAAAGGAATCCTTTCTGGTGGCACTCATCAGTGAATGCCTACAATTCCAGTTATTTATGAGGCTAAGGCAGGAGGATGGCAAGTTCTGGGCCAGACTTGGCAACTTAGTGAGGTCCTGTCTCAAATAAAATGAAAAAATGGATGGAGGTATAGCTCGATTGAACACTTGTATAGCACGCAGCAGGCCCTGGATTCAATCCCCAGAATTCTTTCTAAAGTTGCCTATTGCTCTTAGACAATGGGAGTGTATCAAGCCTGTGTGGTGTAGAGACAAGGAGCCGAGTGGTATAGTTCTGTGGAAGACTGGAACACGACAAGACCATAAATCATGTTACCTGTTCAGATGTTAGTCCTTAGCTCTATTTTATTTATACTTATTGTGAAAAGCCTATTACCATTCTGTTCTGCACCTTCAAAACCTCGAGTTGCCTTTTTGTGATAGGTTTTCTAAAAAATATAATGCTTTGTAAAAGATATCTGGAGTTCAAAAGACCCAATATTACCTCTTTGGGAATATAATCATTGATTTCAAAAAGAAGTTTGCTAATAGGTTGTTATAAATGATAATCACTTTAATATGTAAAAAGGCCCAAACCTTTTTGATAGATGGAGGCACTTCAGAACTCAGTCTGAACACTTCCTTTGGTCCCAAATGAATAGTAAATTACTTGGTGATTGCAACAGATTCATTGTCTGAAAACATTGTCTTAGACATGGGAGTCACCTCCTTATATTAGGCCTTGTTTGATACAGGTTCCTTTCTACCTAACAGGTCTGGTCATAATTCTTTTTTTTTTTTTTTTACCTGCAAAACATAATATATTGTATTCTTAATGACAATGATACTGTTTAAGGTGACCAAAACTATGTGATATGTTGACTAAGTCACACTTGTACAGAAGAATAATCCAAGATAGGGATATAAAATAAATTCTCAGAGGTAATTGTTCATGGAAAGAACTGGTGTGTGTGTGTGTAACTTTGTGTATGTTTTGTAAGTTATTTTATTCCTCAGTGAATCTCCTCAATAAATGGTGCTGATTCATTCTTATCAGTTCTACCCATACTTATTGTTATAAGGATAACAAAGGCTATGTTATATGGGAAGTATTTCCCAATGTGTTAATTTTTTTTAAATGAAAGTTTTCCTTGATTACATTGGTAAACATTACATTAAACCCTGGGTACGCTTAATCCAGAGTTAAGCACATAAGGATGCTCACATGGGGAAGCCCAGCCATTTTGCCTGATTTGGTAAATAATCTGCTGAGATTTAGAATATCCCCATAAACATTCTGCTCCCTCTTGCATTTTTGGTAACATTTACTCTGATGCTTCTCTCTCTCTCTCTCTCTCTCTTTTAAATAGAGGAAGTGAAAATGTATTTTAAAAAACAATTTTGCTGTCGCATTCATTTTTCTTTCTAGCAAAAAAAAAAACACTGAAAAATTATTCAGAAGTCAGCAAGGCCTATTATAGCATATTTCAGAGCAAGAATGCTGATCACTCTGCCTTTCCCAAATCCTCTGTAGTTGTGGAATCTTTAAATTCTTTAGCATTTAAGATTCTTTACAATGTTGATCTAAACCATCCGTTTGGACTAAAAATTCTTCAAACTTGTGTGTCCTTTTCTACACTGGTGTCTTGGGTCCTACTCATCTCTAGATGTATAAAGTTGCTAAAAGTTGAAATCCTTCCCATTCTTTAGAGCTACATTCAAACATCACATTTTTCCTTAAGCTTTTAAAATGTCTCCAGTAAGAGTGATATTTTTTCCTCTCTCTGTAAATCTTTGTGTTTATATTTATCCTGGGGTAAAATTAATTTTCAACACACATTGGCAGTGCCAGTGATGAACATGAGGAATAGTTAGCATGCTCATTCACAAGCATTTATTGCATATTTAGTATGACATAAGACCTGGATTCCAGTACTAATTCTGCCACTACTCAACTGTGTTCTCTTGGGTAAGTTATTTTGTTTATTTTTTGCTAGTGCATTTTAATTATATATAATAATAGATTTCATTGTGGCATATTTGTATATGTATATAACACACTTTGATTGTATCCAACCCTTGCCCTCCTCTCCCCATGGTTAAGTTGTTTTATATATTCATCTTAAATATAGTTGTTTGTAGCTAATTCTTACCCATATTTATTAACTATAATATCTATAATGTGGAGATTTTATTGAATATATTTCTTGTGATCTCACAGGGGCATGAATTCTTCCTTGCACAGAACAGAGATATAATTGTCACTTTTTTAATTGATGAATAAATATCTCTCTATGTTCACAAAAGTATGTTAACTCATGGTGAACAAAAATAAAGGAAATATCTGGTTACTTGGAATCTTAGTCCTGAGTTTCTTTAATAGGAGCCATAGCTGCCTGTTCCTTGAATTTTCTGTAATGTATCCTCCCAGGAGAATCTTCATAATATTAAAAAGACTGCTCTAGCTGGGTGCAGTGGCGCATGCCTGTAATCCCAGCAGCTCAGGAGGCTGAGACAGGAGGATCACGAGTTTAAAGACAGCCTCAGCAATGGCAAGGCGCTAAGCAACTCAGTGAGACTCTGTCTCTAACTAAAATACAAAATAGGGCTGGGGATGTGGCTCAGTGGTTGAGTGTGCCTGAGTTCAATTCCTGGTTCAAAAAAAAAAAAAAAAAGATTGCTCCAGAGTTGTTTCTTTTCTAGCCATGCATGGAATACTGTGGTCACTCCGAACAAAAACAATGGAGTGCTTCTTGTCAGTTTGGCTAGGCATGCTATGAGTGCACATCACAGTCTTTTCGACATGGTCAAGAACAATGGCTTGTGGATCTCATCTTTATTATGCTTAAAATACCAGTCAGAACACATTTTGGATAATTTCATGTTTTTCTAACATGGGGAAAAACACCAATCACTGCAGCTGAGAGGATAAAAGAGAAGCAAGATTTCCAAACACTGTGGAGTATTAGAGAGTAATTTGCTAATATCTATCAAAACCTAAAATCTACATAACCTTTAACAAAGCAATTTCACTTCTGGGACTAGATTCTAGAGAAGTTCTGCCATAAGAAAGCAAAGTGTATGTACAGTGATGTGGGTTAAACATGACTTTTTTATCATTATTATTATTATTACCACATTACTTGACCCAACAAAGAAATGAAACAACCTAGTTAGACAAAAGGGGAATGATTAAATCGATTATGACATACCAAACACACACAAAAAATGTGATATACTACATTCATTATATAAGATAGACCTATAGATACTTACATGGAAAATTCATAGTAGATTACTTTTAAAAAGATAAATTATAGACAATACATGTATATATGTGCATATACATATATATGCACATATCTAATTTTTTTCATATAGGAAGTAATTCAAAAGATATTCATTAAACTTATGAATGGCGACCACTGGTAGTATTACCCAGCAAGGTTGTTGTGAGAATTAAATGAATCTAATATATGTAAAGTAATTATAAAATTACTGGCATATGGTGGGCGTTAAATTTTAATTAAAAAATCTCCTTTAAGAAAATACACAGGTGCTTATTTTCAATTAAAAAAAAAAAACAAGATAAAATAAAAGTACAGCAACATGTACCAGATTAGTACCAGGCTACATTTCAGTCCCCATTCTGAAAACTAAGGCTACAGCACAGCCTCAAATCTCTTAAACTAAGCAATTCTTGGCGAAGGAGTAACACTTTGGAAAGCAGGTTGTTGGGATCAGTCTTGCCCCCTGGTGGTTGGTAAATGGCTAGCCAGAAAGTTGACAAAGCCCAAATGAAATCTTGCCCCTGATTTGTATCCCAATAAGAACTGTTGCAGCAATGACTTCCTAAGCTCTTTCACATTCATTACCTTAAAATTCTTATATTAAGACAGTAATTTTTCTGACATTGTTTGTATCAACAATCCAATGGCAGGACTAAGTAAACCTGTGTTTTCTGTTCTTTCTGCTAGATTTGCCATGAACCATAAGGAAAATGAACCCTATGTATATTATACATTTGTATATAGTATATGTATAATGGATATAATATACAGTAAACATATATCTAGTTTAATCAGTTCATTTCATTTGTGTGCAAACCACATAATCATACTGAGCCCCACATTTTATTTAATTATTTACTGTTCTCTTGAAATTATTAAACATTTTAAAGCAAAAGGCCCTGTACTTTCATTTTCAGTTGGTTCCACAAAACACACAGCTAGCTCATTTTTAAATTAAACTCATAACTCCACATTGTATGTAACTACATTTGTCCATTAGAAAAGAGGAGGAAACTAAGGCTTTGAGTGATCAATGAACTTTTATTGAGGCCCCACAGCTGGCACACCGTAGGCCCCTGTTAGAGTCTATTTACTGGTTGCAGAGTTTCTCATCTGTATAGGTATCACCTGGAAAACCTTCAAACATGCATATCACAGACCACATTCTAGGGCCTATTAAATCATAATCTTTGGAAGTACAGTCTTAGAATCCACTCTGTAAGTAATTTTTCCACTGGTTAGAAAATAAAGTCTATATTGAATTCATTTCTAATGTTAGAATCTATATAAACCTTTATTCACAGCAGTCACTTAATAAATGTTATGCTGATTGTTATGATTTGGATATGAGGTCTCCCCCAAAAGTTCCTGTGTTAATGCAGGAATGTTGACAGATGAAATGATTGAATTGTGAGAGCTGTAATATAATCAGTCCATCCTAGTTTAAGTGGATTGGGTGGTCACTGTAGCTGGTGGGGTATAGATGGAGGAGGTAGGGCACTGGTGGTATGCCCTGGAAGGCTTCATTTCATTTCCCTTGTGTTCTCTTCATTCTTCCCTCTGCTTCTTGCCAGCCCTGGACCATGCACTGTTCTTTCACCACACCCTTCTATCATGAAGGCTGCCTCCACGTGGGCCCAGAGTAATAGAGTTGGCCCTCCATGGACTAAACTTCTGAACCATGAGTCAAAATACATGTCTCCACCTCTAAGTTATCCTTGTCAGGTATATTTTGGTCACAATGATGAAAAACTGACTTAACCCAGAAACTGGTAGAGAAGTGGGGTCATTGTTATGACTAACCTAACCATGTGGTTCAGAAGCCTCTGGAGCCGATTTGTGGGAGGAGTTTATAAATATTTGCAGGCTGCAAAAAGCCTTAAAATGTAAGTGGAGCTTAATGGGCACAATTCTGATGGGAGTTCAGAAAACCAGGAATATGGATTGTGCTCATAAGCTTTCAGAGGGAAATGAGAACTCTATTGAGAATTGGATTAGAGGCCATTCATGTTACATTCTGGCAAAGAACTTGGCTATATTTTGCCCACATTCTGAGACCTTTTATGAGGCTGAATTTTAAGGCAATGGACTAATCTGATGCTGGAGATTTCAAGGCAGCAGAACATTCAGTCAGTGGCATGGATCTCACTGGCAGCATTTAGCAAGCTTTACTGTGAGAATCAGGTGCAGAAAGCAGAGCTGAAAGATTTTTAAAACTTGTAGTTTATCTAGAAACGTCCATGTAAAAAGGCCAAGGAATGTGCAATTGTTACGGAGGTTATAGCCACTAAAGAGATGCTAATTACTTTACACAGAGACAATTGGAAAGATGGCCTGACATCATCTCAGAATTTGCTAGACTATACCCATTTCAGCATAAATATACAGAAGAGAAGAGATCCTGGGGGCACCCTACTTGTACAGGGAGGCCTAGGAAGTTACTGTATCGCTTCAGCTGCCCAGGCACTCAGAGGCTTCTTCATCCATTATTCTAGGAGACCTAACTACTATCCAAGCTGACAGCAGACACTGGCATTGTAACAGGGCTGAGGCCTTCTGGGGAACTGAGGCAGTGAAGACTACCCCCCCTTCAAGGCCTGATTCTTGCAATCAAGTCAGAAAGATTTCAGACCTGTTGTTCAGAGTCACAGGCATGAGTTTATTAAAGCAATAGGAAAAGGGAAAGGGAGAGAGTGTGTTCTCTCAGAGAGGAGATGACAGTGTCCCTCTCCTTCACTCCAGTTTTATTTGGGTCCCAGAGAA